TCCTCTCTCTCTCTCTCTCTCTCTATATATATATATATATATATATATATATATATATGTAGATCTTCAAAGTGTATATAGGGGCATATATATATATACATAAATACTTTCATACGTGGACGTTATATCCTTGAATCTAGAGAATATACTATCAGATAGGTCCCTATATAAACCATACAACCAGATCAAAGACATTATTTATTTATTAGTTTCGCTCAAGAAAAGACATCATTTAATTATATTTAACGGAAGGAACTTATGTTGAGTTGAATATCGTAATTAATACAATATACATCACTAAAGTACATACTTGTTTGTCTCTCATCCACCAAGATTTTATCCGAGAGTCATATGTGTATGCTACATTTATTGTTGGGCTAATGTCTTTGTTGTTTTTTATTGGTCTCGTTTAGTTCGTTGATTCGAATTTTTAATTCGAGTTGAAATGTGACTTTATGTGAGAACTTTTAACTGTAGCATAAAAAGTTAGATGTAACTTTTTGTAAAAGATTTTAACTGTAATAAAATTAAAATTAAAAACTCGACTCGATAAAATGAACGATGCCTATATTATCTCGGTGTCAATTATTTATTATGAAGAATAATAGCATTGAAAACAAAGATATTATACATTTAAAAAATAACAAATTGCAACTTTTGAATGAAAAGAAAAATGTCTTATTGGCCATTCGGTTCATTTTTTTTTTTTAATTCTGAAATGATAAAATTTCTCATCAATTGTTTGAGTGTAGATAGGACTTTATACGTACAAATTGGGCACGTCCAGAAATTGCGTCATGATGGGAGGATGCTTTCCAACAACATAATTGGCATCCTTAAATGGCTTCTCATGCAAACTTTCCATAGTTTTCATCAACATATCATGGGCCCACCTTTTTAAATTTTTATATTAATTTTCCTAAAATTAATCAATACATATCACATTTCACTAATCCGGTCATATCTGATATTCAATCCAGCTTTTTCACACACTCACTCTCTCTCTAGAAATCCTAATATAAGATATGTTGTAATAAATCACGTCATTAATTTGACAATACCACATAAAATTTAGCTAACAAAAAGTGGGAAAAATTTTGGAGCTACATATATATAATATTAAAGAAGGTATTATATCGTTGGATTACATAGAATGTTTTGGAAATATATATATATTCAACTACAACCCAACAACAAATATTGTGAAAGTAATAAGGTGATGGGGAGATGAGATGTCCAGTGCAGGTTAGTAGAAGTGGTTGCTCCGTCAATTTGTCTCCCAGAAATCATGATTAGCCATAGAATTTTAGAGGAATAACGATCATGATTAAAGCTAAGACATGGAGACCTCATAACAGAATATATATATATATATATATATATATAATATTTTGCATATATATCATATATATATATACACATACATAACATTGTTAGTGCTACCGTTATATATTGAGAGAGAGAGAGAGATGGGCACTAAAACGGATGCCAAGTGGACAGAGTATGTCGGTAAGTATACTCAAACACAATCATAAAAGCTAACATGAGAAGTGTTGGCCACATGGATCCATGCGATCGAGTTGTAGTGACTAAGGTTGTTAATATTTGGATTGACTTTGCATTATGATACCATTATATCTTATAGACTTGTAAACTTTGTACACTACATGCTTCATTATAATGAATATTTCATTAAATGAACTAATTAGTGCATATCACATATACACACACACACACACACACACACACACATATATATATATATATATATATCCCCCCTAAATTGACATGAGAGTCAACGAGTCCCCTGCCGCCATGTGTATGTCATTTGACCAATCACGTAACCTTCCGTTAGAAAAGATAAAAGAGAATTATTAAGTTGAAAATTCTACTTATTGCGCAAGATTTAGCCAGGATGACGTCACTAATCTCTTGGCTTAAGGCTTAAGTACTACTAGTACTTGGTGTGGAATTAAGGCACAATACCTAACTATTATGTACAACATTCAAAGGCCAATTGAATGAAATTTTTTTTTTTTGTCTTTTTGCGACAGTGTACGAGTCTTACGTGAGTATTTATATAAGTTCCCTAATGAATTTTGAGCAAATATATATATATATATATATATATATATGTGTGTGTGTGTGTGTATAAAGTTCCGTAATGGGTCACACAGAATTAGGGTCTTGGAAACTCCTTTCACTACTGTGCATACATAAATACAGCAATATATATATCCGAAGAAGAGAATTGGTACATTCTAAACTAGGTAAAACTAGAGGCCTTTGTTTATTCGATACAATACAAAGGAAGTAGATGTAAATGATAAAATGCTCCTCTTTTTTGTGTTGATCTCATTCTGGAATGATAGGTAAGTCTTGTATAACTATTGCTAAAAATCTTCATTAATTAATGCTAGGCATGACTATATGAAATTTTTCAACCCTTCTCCTGATCTAAACAAACAAGTAATTAGCTAATTGCTATCAAATTTCGTTTTCGGATAGCAACGTTTTGAGATAAGCTAGGGAATATTAGCAGGTAGCCCTATAGCACTTAGCATTGATCATATGTGATCATGCATTTACTAAATCAGAGTGAATGCTATAGGTAAATCACGGTTTTCTACGGTCTCTGTCATTTTAAAGTGCATCATTACATGTGAATGTAAAGACCAAATTGTGTAGACGAATATAGAGGATTTCTTAATTAATTGGATTTTCAAGGACTGATGAGAAAAATTGGAATTTATAATAGTTTATAACTACACAACGTTTTTATTTAGCTATAACAAGTTGTAAAGTTTCAAACAGTTTATTTCTTTTACGCTACCATGAATCTCTTGATGTCTCTACCACGACTCCAAATTGGTCTTTCATTCTGTTCCCCTTTAGGCCGTCATACTTTACGAGCATGATGTTGTTTAATTTTGGGCCTCACTCTTAAAGCTAGCTAAATGAACTTTTCTTCAGGCAGGAAAACGAAACTATATGGTAAAATATAAGGGTTAATCTCATAATGGTTCATGAGGTTTATCTTTAATCTCATTTTGGTTCTTAATTTTTAAAACGCTGCATAGTTGGTCCCTGAGATTTTATTTTGTTTTGATTTCAGTCTTTCCAATAACTAAGGTGATGTTTGGTAATGGGATTTATACCCTGATTTGAATCATGATTCATGGTTCGTTACAGTGTTTTCTCTCACAAAAAATACAAGTAAATCAAAAATGATTCTAATCTCATGATTCTAATGATCCATGAACCAAACGTCTCCTAAGTGTTAAATATTTAACAAAAGATGTCTAAATTTAGGACCAAAAATGGAAACAGTTGAAATTTTAAGACTATCTTTGCAAATTAACTTTTATTTCTAAACTTTAATTAGACGTTTATAACTTTAGTCCTTAATTTTTATAGATTTCGTCAAATATTTAACGCTTAAGTAATAGAAGAACCAAAATTAAAACAAAGTAAAACCTCAAAGAGTAATTGTGTGACAGGATTAAAGTGGAATATATAGAGGGTAAACTATAAGGACCATTTGTGAGATTAACGCAAAATTATATTTTCAATAAATATATGCACTTGAAAGGAGGAAAACGGCACATACGCAATAGAAAAGACTGATGGGTACTTGAGCTCCAAATTTTCATTCCAAAGCTTTGTCTATTCTCTCATATCAAATGAAAGAAATAAGGGGAAAGCAGTTATGACTTTGGTAAGTCACAATAAGGTGAAACAGAAATTTGAAAAGAAAACAGCTAGAAATAAGGTAATGTTGTTCTACACTAACCATTGAAGTGGTTGTGAACACTCCAACTTAGCATCCCTTTACTGTGTGTGTGGGTGTGTATATATGTATCTATATATATATATATATGTATATGTATGTATACATAATACGTTATATATATTTTGAGTTCATTCTATCATTTCCACCAATATTGCTGCGAAGTCATTAACATTTTTGTACATTTCTGTTGAGACCTTGAACTGAAAGAACCTGATCTATTAGTTAAAGATGTGATTTTAAAAGATCTCTCGTATATTTTTTTCCTAATTTTCTTTTTTCCCCTAGCCCGTACGTACTATGTGTCAAGCATGTACTGGGCGTCTTATGGGAGTTGGTGACAGCAATTTATAGTAGCTATAGTATGAGATATTTTAAATTTTGAAAAAAGAAAAAATGTGACAAGATTTGTTAGAAAAAAAAAAAAAGAAAGAAAAAAAAAACAATTTCTGATGAGAGTCTCTCCACGACCACACACTAAAAGAAAAGGGAGAAAAAAAAATAATAATAAAACAACCATCATATCTTTCTTCTCCTACGGGACCATGAATGAAAGCTCAGTGCCTCCGACCCCATCATCTCTCTCTTTGGCCTTCTTGTCGTTGAGGTGGTTGCACAAGTAAAACGAGTGACGTTCTAGAGAGAGAGAGAGAGAGAGAGAGAGAGAGAGTTCTTTTGGGGGGATAGTAGTGGTGGTTTTAGAGGTGCTTTTCAGATAGATATTAAGGTCGAAGGTCATAGTTGAGATGTGGGCGTGCCCTCCGCACACACTTTATATTGTTGCCTCTAACGCTTTTTTTTTTTTTTTTTTTCTTTTTTTAGGCCTTTGAGCTGACCCCACTTTTTTTTTTTTTCCTTCTTCTCTTACTACCTATAATGCGGGCCCTACAACCCTCCCTACCCTTCTTCTCTCTAATTTGGCGCGCTCTCTCTCTCTCTCTCTCTCTCTCTCTAGGCCTATAGTTTTAGGTGGTTGGCTCTTCTCCAAAGGGCATGGACCCCACACTAAGTACACTAATGGCCATGATACCTTAAGCTTTTCATGCAATTTTGGACCCTTCCTCATTGCCCTACGCCCATTATAAATTATCATGACTGCGTTACCCTTTACGCACATCTTGTTATAATCGTCCTTCGTCCCTCTTTTCTCTTTCCCTTTTCCTCTATGCCTGTCACCAGCTAATTAATCCCCCCACTTTTCTTCCTCTTCTTCTTCTTCTTCTTCATCTCTTTTGTTTCCCAGCTTTCATTAATTTGGTTTCTTTTCTTCGGTTTTTGATCAAATTATTTACCAACCCTTCACAACATTATATACAATATATATAAATCACTAGTACTTTTTTTTTTTTAGTGGTGATTTCAATGTCTGAGGACATGAATTTATCAATAAACGGCCAATCTCAGGTTCCTCCCGGATTCCGGTTTCATCCCACCGAAGAGGAGCTTCTTCACTATTATTTAAGGAAGAAAGTGGCTTTTGAGAAGATTGATCTCGATGTGATTCGTGAAGTTGATCTTAACAAGCTTGAACCATGGGATATCCAAGGTAGTATATATACTTTAGTACTCTAGTTAATTATATATTATAATTTGATCAGTTTACTTAATTAAATATTGTGCTTTTGTATTGTGGTGTTCATGCAGAGAAGTGCAAGATAGGATCCACGCCGCAGAATGATTGGTACTTCTTTAGTCACAAGGACAAGAAATACCCGACCGGGACTAGAACGAACCGCGCCACCGCGGCCGGGTTTTGGAAGGCGACCGGACGGGATAAGATCATCTATAGTGGGTTTAGAAGGATTGGATTGAGAAAGACCTTGGTGTTTTACAAAGGAAGAGCTCCACATGGACAGAAGTCCGACTGGATTATGCATGAATATAGGCTAGATGAAAGCACCGGCCATGAGTCCACTACTGTAAGCCCTTCAATAGTTCTCTCCATTGATTAATTTACCTTTTTATCTCAGTTTGGCACCAAACACTTTTCAACTCTTGTCTTTTATTGCAACAGTTTAAGCTGATTCTGAAATTTTAAAAAAAAAATCATGTTTTTAAGTATATAACAATATCTCTAGTCATTATGATCATGATTAGTTTTTCTACCAGTCGAAATTATAGTCATGTACTAAAACTGTTTACTGGTCTTTTAGTTTCAATATGCGAATCTGTAATAATTAGTTAGAAATTAACGCCGGTAGTGATATATAGCATTAGTAAACTGATTGATCATCACTTGCCTTCTATTCCTTTTACTTTTTGCTTCTTGGTTTTTCCTTTGTACAACACTGTTTTATTTACTATATATTTTGTATATGTTCTACTCGACAATGAGAATGAGAAAGAAAACTATAATATGGATTATTTGCCTTATAGTTTGTACAAGCTTTTACTAAGCCATATCGAATAGATTAGCATGTACTAGCTATTTCTTCATGTGGGAATTATGGGATGAAGAAATTATGATCATGTTAAGCCGCAGTTATTTCTAATCCTGGTGTTTGATATCAGTTATTCTCTCTTCATTTATTGGGAAAAAAAAAAAAAAAAACAGGTTTCTAATCCGATATCGGTGGATTCGGTACCGGAGGACGGGTGGGTGGTTTGCCGGGTGTTCAAGAAAAAGAATTACCAGAAAGCACTGGACAGTCCCAAATCATCGTCCAATATGTCCGTGGACTCGAACAACTCTCATCACCACCATCATCAGATGCAATGTTCAAGAAACGACGGTGTTTTGGATCAGATACTCCTCTACATGGGAAGAACTTGCAAGCTTGAAAACGATTCCCTAACCACCAACAACAATATATCCGAGAGGTTTCTCTCATCAAATAACAACAACAACAACATGGTTGGTCATCATGATCATCATACAGTTCTTCATGAAAGATTCATGCATCTTCCTAGGCTCGAGAGCCCAAGTACTATCCCTAACTCACTTCCCATCAACAATTTTGATAATCATCATCATCATCATCATGATCGTGGTTTTAAGTCCTATCAATCAATGGACGAGATGCTCTTGGACACCGACCCTCACCAGAGCGATAACCTTCACGAGCCCAATCCCACCAACTGGGTGGCGCTTGACCGGCTCGTGGCATCGCAGCTCAACGGCCAAGAGCCGGAGACGTCGAAGCCGCTATCCTGCTTCGGCGACCCTAACATGACGGCGACGTCGTTTTGCAGCCCCGATCCACCGGAAGACGAGGACGACGTCGTACAGTTGTCGTATCCGTACGGCCTGCGGTCCGGTACTAGTACTGCTGCTTTAGCCAGTAGAGGCTCGCAGGCTCAAGTCTACAATGAGAATGACCTATGGAGCTTTGCCAGATCATCATCGTCGCCGTCGTCGTCAGACCCGTTATGCCACTTGTCAGTATAAGAGAAGCTTTTTGAATAAATACATAACACAATATATATATATATACACACTATAGGTATATATATACCAGTTACGGTTATAATATGTACGTTATAAGTTGGTGTTACATAAATAATGATAATGAGGGGATAGTGGATCGTCTAGATGTATAGATCATGTTATTGATTAGTACTATTGGGGTTAGTGTGGTACTGTCAAAAACATTATCTTTAATTTTTTTTTTCTTTTTCATTATTTTTCGTTAATAACTATATATGTCTTTCTTCCATTGAACTTGTTAGCTAATTCTGGGTGCTGTGATGTGCTCTTTCCATCTGCAATTATGTCCTTTGGGTTATGGTCTTGCCCTTTTTCGTTAACTATATTGAAAAGCCTGACAAAGTTAATTATAGCAGGACGCTGACTTCTTGATCAGATTTGATACCACACGCAATTAAATGATATCCAACCAAAAAAAAAAAAGTTATATCTATATATATATATATTAGACCCACATGCCTTGGTCACATTGGCGAGAGGTCTTTTTTTTTTTTGGGTGGTGGCGAGTCTGGCGACAAGGAATGAGATCCTGGGGTCTAGCTCATTCTCTCACCTAACGTGCATAGCATTATATAAAAGATTCAAGAAAGGTGATCACCTTTTAAAAAAAAAAAAAATAGATAAGATAGAAACATATATACAGCACGAGAATCACAGTGACGCATTATATATATACATATATATATAATATGATGACAGTATCGTGTATTATTATTATCAACACTTCTCTCTATAGGTCTTGTCTGGGGTGCAGCTGCTTTTTCTCTTTTCTTCAAGTTGATAATAAGAGAGAGATGTTTTGTACGATCTATCTTCATTTGTGCTTGTGACTAACGATTTTTTTCCCATACTTTTCTAGATAAAAGATCTCCCAATGAAGTTTTTATATTTTAATTCTTTCCAAATCTTTTTCTCTTTTGGACACTAGATCGGATGATAAAGTTGCCATATAAGCATCTAATCATGTTGTAAATAGATAAACAGGATAAGCTAAACACTCCAGAGAGCGAGGAGAAGAAGAAGAAGCAAAGTCACTACACACACACACACACACACACACACATATATATATATATATATATATATATATATGCTTTTGTTGGTTTTACATTCAGGGAACTATATAAACGAATATATAAACGAAACCGAGTACTGCAATTAAACTCGTTAAAAAAAGATATATGTGCCTAGCATGTATATTATATTATACTACTCTATATATTCGCTATGCATGCAGAGAATTAATGGAATCTTCATTCAAGTTGTTTGCCACTTTCAAAAACGGACATTTATTTTACGCGTTAGATCATTGTTTTCTTGACTAGCTTGCACCAGTGTGATAATGCATGTTACGTCAAATTTGAACATCACGGAATGAGAAAGAAGAAAAATATCTTTATCAAATATAAATGTAGTTTTCCATGAAAATGTTCTTGCACAATATTATACACATAAACGTGATCAGACTATTGATACTGCCAACTGATTAAAGATAATACTACTGTCTCTTTATCATTTGTCGGTTACAATTTCTTCTACCTGATCATGAAACCCTAGATCCGTTAATGTTAGTGGTCAGATATATATACATGTTGCAGCTGGATTCGATTAATTAATTGCATGCAATCGGATCCTTCGAGCCCATTTTCCGCGAATACTCAATTACGGGGTAAATGGGCCATATTTAACGCGCTAATTATGGGGGAAAAGCTATCTTTATTACTTTCTTTTTTAAGGTTTTCTTTAATTTCAAATGGATAATTATTTATTAGTGAGATTAAATAATATTGAATATTTGAACCACTACCTTTCTCCATTTCGAGAGAAAAAAAATTAAAAATAAAATAACCACAGCGCTTTATTTTTATCCCTATACTTTGAATCGAGAATCTTATAATATAGGATATAATATTATGTCTCGTTTTCTTTTAATAAAACTTTTCACATAAGACTAGAAAACCAAGAGGGGAAATGTTATTAAGTTGCATTCATCTATGATGAAATAAATCATTTCTTATATTCATTATACTCGTGTAACAAATACGGACGAACTTATAGAACTCTCAAACGAAAACATTATTTAAAAAAAAGAAAAAAAAAGAAAGACGAAATCAAGTGTTGCTGTCTTTCATTATTGCTTAAGATTGACCACCTAAATGAACCACCAGGTGTCTTGCCAGGGGCAAAAGCCTTCGAAAAGGAGGATTCCGATCATAGGATATTGGAACTGGGTCAAATTTGTCGGAGATATTACTTGACTTACCGCAATCATTAATTTGCTGTAATTTTTAGTATACTTGATGAGACCCACTATACATTGTTGGACTTAAAAAAATGAAGAGCTTAATATATACATACACACACACACATATTTATATATATATATATATAGTTATGCTTGTATTAGAGTTTCAAATGATAAAATATGGCAGCATGCAGTCATATTGTCATGTGGCTTACTACTGATCAAGTACTACTATACATTACATACTACTTCCAACGAAAATGATTTCTATGTAGTGAGTTTCACACACACATATATGATTTTATAGTTCTTTTATAATTTTGCCATTATTCAGACAAGCGCGAGGATAAACACTCAAAAATATTTGTCTTGCATTGTCTTTATAATTAAGTTATGGATCAATATGCAATGATTTAGAATTGTATTTAGATTATTACACTATAATACTGTCTCAGCACATGTAATGCTTTCTGTTATGGCGGCAGCAGCTAGCTGACAGGGAAGGTGTGTGGTAGTAATTAGCCACCCTCATATTAATCATTAATTTCCCCGAATATTGTCTCAAGGAACACATGTCATATGCGGAATAATGAGTAATGTCTCTACCGAACGTGGAAAAAGAAAATAAAGAGAAGATGTATAAAGATAATTGTACACATGATAATTCATATATAATTATGGAAATTCAAAATTAGAAGGCATATTAAGTCAAAACAAACTCTAAAATAGTCACAAACGAGCATCAAATATAAAGGTATTCTATTATGGACAAAAATTAGATCTACATAAAGACAAATGAGGCACAAAAACGAATACGAGTGCCGAGTCCTAATGAAAAAATACATGCTTGACACATTAACGATCGAGCGCGGCAAAATCTCGTTTAATAAAACCACTGCAGTCGATGGATAAAATCACTCGACCGAGACTAAAAGACTAAAAACACTGAGCCACTCATAACACCACATAAAATCAAACCTAACGAAATAAATTTGCCACCACCATAAAAGAATAGGACAGCTTTTGTTATTAAATGAAATTTCTCCATTCAAAAAAATCAAATATCATATTTATAAATGTCTAATGGAGTTTTGTTATTAGGAGTTATCTATAATAAAGGAAACCTATATTCCACTTTGTAAGATAGAATTTTAAACCGGGATAATGATTGTACAATGTGGAGGGGGGCCAATACCAATTTTCTTTCTAGGTAAGACGTTGACTCAATGAAAAGCTCTTTTAAGTCTATAGACGATTGCATGAGTACTCAGATGACGATTGGGAAATAGATATCATGTTCATCTCTAAACTGTCTCATTTTCTAATAAGAAAAATATGTCTTACAAAATTAAGAAATAAGAATAATAAGGAAAAAAAATAAATGCAAACAAACAAAAATAAGAATAATATACACACACAAAAAAAAAAGCAACCAATGATTAAATAAATAAAAAAAAACTAAGATTTTCCGATTTTAAAAGTCCCTATGTCCGCAAACTCTAAACTGGCAGGAAGACTTTTTCTTCTTCAAATTCTTATTTTGTTTCCTCAAAATATCTAGATTTGTCATTAAAAAAGACTTGAAAAATTTCCTCTCTTTTTTTCTCCTGAGTAATATGCGATTGTTGGTTTTAATTGATTCATCATCCCTTTCAAGATTTTGTCTTCAATAGAGTCATCGTTTATTAGATTCGTCCAAAATTGTTTTTTCATTTCCTGTAGAGTATTTGATTAATAAATTGTGACGACATCAAGACCAGTAAGACTAACCTTTAAATTGATCCCATGAAGACTTTAGACGTGCACTAGACTAGAGGGCTAATGATATCAGTCTAAACTATAAAAAAATACGGGAAAAAGAATGAACGAATGAAATATGTTGCATTAATTGCTCTTTCCCTAATTCTCTATTAAACCATTGCCCCAATTTAATTTGTTGAGTTACATAGAGCCTTTATTTTATACTGCTTTTGTCGACCACAAGGGGATGTAACTCACATATTCAAAGTGAATAATTATAAATGGGATAAAATTATTTTGGTACCTTATGTTATAACAAAACAGTTCTTAGTAATACTAAAAGGAAAATAGAAGTAAATAATAGATTTTTGAAACTAAATGAAGTAAATAGTATATTTTAAAATTATTTGAGGTAAATAGTTTTACTTGTGTTTTCTTAGCACTTGTGTTTTTTTATAATATTTGAAAAAAATGTTTTTAAATTTTACTAGTCGTGAACCTTTTACGCGGTAAATGATTCATTTACCACGTAAACTGTTATTTACTTTAAATAATTTAAAATTTTCTATTTATTTCATTTAGTTTCATAAATATGATATTTACTACATTCTCCCATATTAAACGGTACCCCAATATTTTTAAAAGTATCTTCCTAATATTCTGAAGCTGATTTTTGAGACATTTAATATCCAAACTATCATTCTTATTAATTAAATAGAAATCAATATTTTTTAAAAAAATTGAAAATATTTTTAAACATTAAATTATTTCAAAGAAAACAACAAAATAAAAAAAGTTTTATGATTTTTTTCTATATTTATTAGTTTTTGGTTAATTAATGGAAGGATACTAAAGTTATTTTACATCTCAAAAATCAGCTCCATGGTAATAAGAAGATGTTTTTAAAAGCATCAAGGTGCCGCTTTATTATTATAAAAAACACACAATATTAAGAATATATTTTATTATAACATAACATGCCAAAATGATTTTATCCCATTATAAATTATATGTGTTCTC